GCCCCACTCCAACCCTCCAGTACGCCCTGCGCTCCATCCGCCCATCTCATACTGAGCAGCAGACAGACCCAGAATCTGGCAGTCGACGCAGACTCACATCTCATCCCATCCACTCGCACATTTATACACAGTCACATCAGGATCTGAACATGGCAGCCCAACCGCAGCAGCCGCAATATATGCTCCCTGTGCGAGTTCCGCCGCGCACCGGTCGCTTCATTGGCTCTGTATCGGGGCGCTTTTCAGACCAGAAATCTGCGGACGTACATTTAGACGACTGGCCGCGGACTCCAGGCAATCGCCGGCGCATCAACATGACTTGCGTTGCCTGGGGTCTTACATTCGCATACGTAGAGAGGCAGAACGCGCTACCAGGCGTGGGTCACAACGGCAACGCATGGGTATACGAAGCGCTGGGGCACAATCGCATCAATGTCCAGCTCGTTGATGGCGCACGGGAAACAGGATCGGCTGTACTCGATACTCTGGTACCAGCACCGGGCGTTCCATTCCTTGTCAATGGGCAGCAGGGATACGTGGGCCACCGCATGCCGTGGAATTGGCGTGCTAGTATTGCCAACAACATGAACCCAAAGCTTTATTACTTCAAAACACGACTGCGCCGCGATCACGGTCCCACCACCCCCAGCGAGATTATTCCACTTCCCCATCCCAAAGCCAAGACTGTCGAAGCCGACAGGCTGTATTTTGGGGCGCAAATCAACCAATACCGCATAATGCGTGCTCTTTAATCACTGTGTCCAAACGAATTCATACATCAGACGACTGAAGGATCTACTGCCTATGGTTACCAATGTGCTAGTAGTTTGTCAAATCATACAATGGAGCATTGTAGCTTGAAGTCAAGTATAAGTCACGCGTAGCGCAAAGGCTCCATGCCCCGCTCGTGTGCCTCCATTCGAGGCGTTCGCTCAGGAATCGTGAAGTAGACATCCCGTTTCCCAGATCTCTTCAGCACGCACGCAGATCCTTCCGTGACCATGAAGTTCTCCTGACCGGGATTTATGTCCCGGTCCTTGATACCAAAGATCAATTCCAAGGGACGCAACTTCTCCTTGAAGACAAGAGCATGGGGGTTGTCAGGATTCACCGAGCCCCATAACTCTATGCCAGCAGTAACAGAGTTCACGGCTTGACCGGTTGACGTGTATATTATGTCCAGTGTGAAAGCCTTATGGCTCGATAAGCCGGTGCCATGGAGTCGAATAGAGTATTGACTATCGGGTATAGATTGAAGTCGAACGTCCTCCTCAGGTTCGCCTAGCTCATTTGGCGTGAAGAATCCCGGTTTATGCTATCGCGTTCATGTGAGATCGACCACTCCCAAGGATACATGAGAACGACGTACTCCGATTGGAGGACAAGATAGTGCATCGTAGCTTGCACGCATGAGGCGCTCTGACTTCTCCCGCCCAGCTTCGATGTCGTCAGGACAATAACTCAGCGCATCCTCTATTCGCTCCTCGTCCACCATGGCACGAAACTCGGACTCGGTTCCAGCCCACGGTTTGGTGGCCGCGAATACAATATCGAAGTCGTCCCGGGGATCAATGGTAGGATTGAGTTTCTTAGCTATCAACGTTTGCCAGTATCTCAAGGGTCTCTGATCTGAAGGCACGGGGCACGCCGGAATTGGAGCAGATGCACTGGGGTCGCGGGACTCCTTTGGCTTCTTCACCTCGTAAGGCTTGCGCTGAGTAGATTTCTAGAGCCTAAGTTAGTTGTGACGCAGTGTTAGTTTAAGATACAACACACGCGAGTTCTGGCGTTGCGGGTCGCCATTGCGATGGCGGTGGTGCATGGTGGCGGTAGTGGTTCAGGCGACAACCAACGCGCGCAAGCCGGCACGTGACACGTGTTGATGGCCCTTTGTGGCTCTGAGCGCTCACGGGACTCATAAACCGCACGTCAACGCTGATCACAGCCCTATCTCGCTCTCTCACTCTTCCCTCCTCCCCCACCACTTCTGTAACCCACATCCGCTCCTTAGCTTGAGACGAGCTTCACCCACTCTTGATAAGGACCATGGACTCTCCATACGCCGACCCTCGGCAGCCCAACCACAACCAAACAATCACTACATTGCATATGCCGCAGGCATACCGGGTACGTCCAACGTTTACATCCTGCTCGACTCGTACTTAGAACGTCATAACGCAGGGCCAACAAGTCATGAACCGGATGCTCCTCCGTTCTGGGGCGCACCACAGAGCGTACGCCGGTGGCTCGATGCATGGCGCGCCTCTCCTAGACGAGGTCAGTGACCCTCGTCCCACTTCCTCGCACCGCTCGGCGATCTGACTATCCATTTCAGCGTCGGTACACCGTCCCACAGCGCCCAAGCAACCCACTTGCCAAGTCGACGATGCCCAGGACATCCTTGTATGGGCCACCGTACGGCCTTCCTCCGCTCGGCGGTCCGGGGGTCGGCCACCACAACTTCGAACGCCCCGTTGCGCCGTACAACCAAGCTCAGGGCTACTCGGACTTCGCCAATGCTCTCACTATGGGCCCGATGCCCGGTGGTCTTGGCTATCATGGCAGCGTCGCAGGCCCCAGCGCGGGGCCGTCTAACGGTATACCGTCCCACGGTTATCAACACGAGCCTGTCCACCAGAATCAGCAGGGGGCTATCCTCCAGTCGACGCTCTCGAGCACTTACAACCAGAGTGGTGCCATGGTTCAGAGCCGTCAGCTCACCGCTACCGGCCACTACTACGGGGAAATGCGCGCCCATACCGCAGGCAACGTGAACCACCCGCCCGCCATGGCGCCTCCCGACGCTAATCCGTTCGACCCCTTCCAACACGCGATGTATCTCGACCCGCTGGCCGCTGTTGCGGCGCCAGTCCCTGCGCCGGCCACTGGCGTATTGCCAGGAGGCCCACTGTTCCCGGCGGGGCTCGCGGCTGGGGTCCCCGGTGGTGCCACCAACTTCGGTCAGGCAATCAACACGGACGGCTCCGGGTATGGGCATGGGGAGTTGTATCGGGGAGGAGACATGTATCGCGGGATACTCCCTGACGAAGGCTCGTTCGGCCCAACTGAAGGTCGACTGAACGACTTGCCGGCGCGCATGCCGCATGGTACGTCCTTTGTTCTTCGTTGTCTCCAAGCATGCTGACAACCTTCGTGTAGGCGTCGTGCGTACCATCCCACGCCACACTACTCGCGGGTATGCGCACCCTGGCGCGCCATATCCTTCATCTCGGGTCGCCGCTCCTAGCGCAGACCCGGATACGAACAACTTTACATCAATCATCGACATCGTCCTGGGAGGTATCCAGGACAACATCAGCGACGGAGTCCAGCCGTCGCACCACGGTGCAGCACAGGCAGTGGCTGGGCCGTCTACAAGCTTATCAGCGCCCGCGAACGAGGCCGACCTCACAGGATGGCAGCTCCAGCGCTTGCACTGGATCTCCAAAAAGTTTCTCGACCAGTTAACGCCTGCTCAGAGTGGTGCTATGGTAGACATGTTTGCGGAGGGCACGGAGAGGTCGGGAGGAGGGTGGCGATGCATCTGGATCGAAAGCAACGGTGTTCCCTGCAAAAAGAGCGGCCAAAATTTCACGACTCATGGGTTGCGCGACCGGCACGTATACGAGACGCACCACCACCACAAAGTACTCGTGGGCGACAAGGAGTACACTCGGCCGCTCGTGGGCGTCAGTGGGGGCAGAACCTGCCGCTTTTGTCCTCAATACATCCCCCGCTGTACTGACGGCGGCTACATGGCGTTGCAACACGAATGGGCGTGCTGGAATAACCCGGACCGCCTTCCAGTCGCAGACTTCCCGGGGAAGAAAGCGTTGGAAGCGAAGCGGGCAGCGCTGAACTTGAGCGACATCAGCCTGGCCATAAACTCCATTGCGAATGAATTGAGGATCGCGAGGGCGAGCTAGAGGAAGGATCAGTATAGGCAATGTTTCGATTGGTCAAATACGAACACTGTCTGCGCACGTCTGCATCTGTAACTGTACGATGATATATATTGGACATTTGGTCTTAAGATCGCGATTCGAATTCTATGGCGAGGCTTGATGTCTGTATGCGCTCTATCGGTATGAGATCGGGTGCACGCACGTGAGAAACGATACGAGGCGACTCACAGGACTCTGCGATAAACATGAAACACACAGTATGGGCGACATATCCGGGGCGATATCGCTCCCTATGTATGTTCAGTCCACCATTGCCGACGGCTGGCCCGCTGTGGATCGCCATCGTCGGCTGGGCCGATGTGGATTGACACTGACCACCGTGGTTTGGCACGCGGAAGTCGGAAGCAAGACGCGTTTCCGTCCGAGGGCGGACCAATATCCGCACGACCTCGGCGCGGTTTGCATCCGTAATTCCTCATATTTACCTTGATGGCCCAGTGCCCCCCACATTAACGTGCTGTGGACCGCGTAGTCCTCCCACATCACTGCGACCTTGTCCGCAGGGGAATGCGTGGTTTATGAAATTGTATGGGCCTCGGCCTATGCATCGTTGCAATTTTTACCTAATCCCGCTTCGGCCTTCCGGGCCGTTAAATTTCCGGTTGACGCGTCGCGCTAGCCCTAACCTTAGAGACTGGCACTCGGCCAAATAGCATTACACCACCAAATCCGAGTTCGATATCCAATGCAATATCGCTTTAAATGCAAACTATGATGCACACTACGCTTACTTGCTTGCCACTCGGGAAGATGCTCACTCTGATCTCACGCCGAGGATCTACTGGCAAGCCCGATGGCAAGAGTGCATGGGCGACGCCGATAGACGCCGGGGTCGCGTCTGAGCACACGCATGTTCATGCTATCGTCCAAAGCTAACCCAGCTTGGGCTACTACCACTGAAGAAAGATGTACCAGTGCAGTCGTCATGCGTTACGACCAGGATGCTAAGTATAGTAAGATGTATTAGCAAGTATATACATGCAACACCGGCCAGCAACATCATGGAACGGCGGAGATCACCAATACCCACCGCAGCGCCTACTCTCTTCATTGGCTAACACTGAGCGCTAAAGAACAATCGAGATCATAATATCAGCGCCGGGCATGGAGAAGCAGTGTTGGAGCAGACATACCTCGGTCAGAGAGGCTGGACCGCCTGAAATATTGCGACGAAGATGTACGCGAATGTTTCTCTGGCATCGGTTCATCATGAGCGTGGCTCATATGATAGATCAGGCAATAGCACGAGCACATACCCAGAAAGCACCCTTCAAGGTCCGAGTCTTCATCGCCCGAGGCCGTCACGACGGGTGCTCGACGATCTAAAGCGAGATATTAGCACTACCCCACATGCCGCGCGAGTTATGCGTACTGGGAGCGCTGCGTCGTTGCGCGTCTTGTACTTTGCGCAGATGCTGTGTGCCGTGCTCACTGTGTCCGCTCTGCCGCTGAACGGGAGCGGCCCTACGATCGATTCGCGGCATCTCACGGTCAGCGACGACCCCAAGGAGGTCTTGCGATACCTCGAGCGCATCCTCCTCCGAGCTCCTGTCAACGGCTTCTTCGCCGCTCCATGGAAAGGGAGATGTCTGAAGTCGTCGAGAACGTTTCGCAGTATGCAGCTGCTCAGGGCGACGATCAGCGTGTCGCAACGCTTGAGACGACCGATGGCGGGAAGATGATGGCCTTGCAGAGGAAGAACGGAGTTGCGGATGCTGCATCTTGGAAGCGTTTTTCTGCGGCCGCTGCGTTGAGGATTGAAGGGAGTCGGCCTCAGGTCCAAAGCTGGAGGCCTCGTGAGTATACGTACGATAGAGAAAGAGACGGAGGCTCACTCGTCCAACTCTATAGGATGATGAGCGTCCGACCCGGCGATAGACGCGGTACGACTGGTACGCGCAACCTTCGGCAGCACGGTAGCGCGGTCTGGGCGACTCTCCTGGTATATTCGCATAAGTCTCAACTCAACCTGAGGACGACAAAGAACTCACTTGTCGGCGGCGTTTACTGTTTGTACCCTGATGTTCTCCTACAGAACGGCGGCGCTTCTCTGAGGTAGAAGAAGAACGTTGTGCGGGTGTTGAGTCGCGGCTTCGATCCACCGAGGCCTCACTTCCCTCTTCGCCCAGTACACCCTCATCCTCGTCATCCAGCGGGCTGATGGAGACCCTAGGGAGCAAACGCTCCCGCCTGACGCGGTGGTCCACACCCAAGCCAGTTTCGCTTGGCGGCTGTTGCTCGGCTATTTCGCGTATAATGGGGTCGAGCCTGCTCTTGTTCCGCACGTAGTAAGACCGCCATGATTCGGCACTGTGGCGCTCGGCACCCGGCCAATCAAACCTCTAGACAATATACACTGTCAGCTTAATCATATCGGCCCAAGTGAGCCTGAACGCACCGAGAGGAGCATCTGCTCGTATGCATTGGCGCCCTGCCGCCCTCCCTGGTTCTCGTCAGGTAACCACTGAGCGAGGAAATGGCACATAAGATCTTCGTCCTCGGCAGTGAAATTGGTCCTAAACCATGAAGATTAGTAAGTGTGGAATATAAGCAAGCAACAATGTAGTCCCACCGATACATCTGACCTGGAGGGCGACCTGGCATGCCCTTGGTAACGGGAACGTGGAAATCGAAACTCCCAGAAGAGATCCAAGAGTCTATTTTGCGAGCAAGATAAACCCTGGTTATGGTAGAAGTGCGAAAGCGTCCGACGGCCTTTTCATACCGCGCTGCATCGTCGAAAACGAAGATGTCGACATCCGGCTTATTGCTCTCATAGATGGCCTTGCCGCTTCGGCCATCATACGCAAGCGCACCACCATTATCCTTGAGGATAGTCAAAAACAGGCATATTAAAGGAGTCTAAGGAGACACACCAGGACTTTCTGCTTGAAATCCCGTAATGTAGCTTTATCCGAATGTTTGAACCAGAACGCGAAGCGGGCGGGAGCGCCCGTCAAAGGCATGGTGAAGAGCGGTGTATCGGGGCGCAAACTCTAGAAGTAGAAATTCACGTAAATGAGTATGTTACCAAGAGTTGTGCGATTAAAGTGCGCACCGCTGCGCTCTCAGAACGCGCTTCAGGACCATAGCCATGGTCGAACTCTACATCCTCCCCTTCTTCTTCTTCCTCCTCCTCTTCGTCGCGGGCCGGGCGCTTGCCGAGGGCCCTTGCAGAGAGATGATGACGCGCGGACATGACGAGTGAGCGGAACGGTCGGCGCAATGGTGGTGGACGGAGCGAAGTCGCCGACGCGCCGTGACTGTCGTTGCGACGCGACGCGGCGCGTCGCATTCACGGTCACGAGGCGGGATGATAAGCCCGCATTTGATGGAAGCGTCCGGCGCAGGCCTATCCAGGCGTGAATGTAAACCGTATTTTCTTGCGAGAGATCATGTAAGTACTGCAAGTATACTCACGGAGCATTGACGAAGAGAAACGAGAGATGCCGACGACAGCGTCAGTGCGCGCGTGCGACACGGGCGCCACATTCACTTTCCCGCTACAAGCCTAGCATACCAGCAAGCTGCGCTGCGCCTTGGCCGCGGCAAAACATGTCTGATAGATGAATGCCTTGCAACTACGCAGCGCTCTACCGTTCGCATTTCGGACAGCTGGCAGCCTGCCTCGTAGCACCTCGTAGGAACGTGCGCTCGCTCTGTACCGACTCACGGATCGCATCTCCGCCGTAAGTCCTATCTGTCCAGGGCACACCAACTTCCTGAGTTGCGTGCACGGGTAGCCAAATAGGCAAGATGGAGGTCAAAGTCGTGTGCAAGGTCTTTCCTGCCTGCAGCCCACAGCAGACGAGCCGTCAAACTGTCACCATCACACTGAGTGGCGGAAATGAAGGCCGCTGTGAAAGAGTGCATCGGTCTCTGCTGCACGCACAGTAGTGGAAGTGCAGGTGCGTAAAGAAACACATCGCGTAGGATGAGTCTGGGCTCTGCGCATACCCGCCAGTCTACTCTGTACGAGTAGTCTTCGCCTTTTTACTCTTCCTCTCCCCACCCTCCTCTGCATGGCCCTTGCGCTTCTTCTTGGTCTTCTCCTTCACCTCCTGGACTTCTTCGTCCTCCTTTTCATCTTCCTCCTCCAGCGTCATCGGCGCTTTTGACGATCCAGGTAGTGGTCGCGCAGATTCGCTCCCCGTCGGCAAAAAACGGTGTTTCAGCATTTCGATAGGGTAGTTCTGTCGTGGCTCGTTTTTGTAGACAGGTTCTGTCGCGCCTTCTTCGGTTTTGGGAGTGTCCGGCTGTGCAAGCGGGGCAGTGATGGCTAGGTGTCTCTTGATAGGCTTTGGCGCTGTAACCCACCTATCAGCAACGCATCTCTGTACGGGTAGTGTATGAATGAAACGCACCTTGATATAACTTTCCGCCCTTCTTCTGCCTCGGCAAGAGCACGTCCATCCCAAACATCTCTTCGCCAGGTAACCTCTGATCCCTCTTAACGTCCTCTTCACTCCTCTCCCTATCCGTCATCCACACATTATATGTCTCCTTCTTGTCCGCAATGTAACCAGCATGGCCGCCGTGCTCAGCGGCCTGTTCCGGAGAGCGAATGGTCGCGCCAGCCAAACGCTTTGTCTTGAGCTGCAGGTGAATTCCCATCAGTATAAACGAGCTCAGCGCGAGTTGCGGTGATTGACGTACCTTTTTGGGTATACGGACAAGCCACAGTTCGACGTCCGGGTTATTTTTTATCTCGTCGTAGTCGAACTCTCCGTATTCGATCTCGAAGTCCAGAGGCACAGACTCCGCGTCTGCCGGCTGCTTCTGCGCCCAGTCTGGGTGTCCCTGCCGACCCGGTCCAGAAAATGAGACTCCATATCATTAGCAGCCGAAGGAGATGTGCGTACGGGGTGCGCGCGCTCGAATCCACTGACTGGCCGTCCGAGCATGTCAACGTCCTCGGCCTCCTCCGCACTTTCTACCGGTGCCTCAGAACGCTTGTTCTTCTTGTCCTTCCGCTTCTTGGCCTCTTTCGCGTCTGAAGAAGAAGCGTGCTTTGATGAGGAGGCTTTCGCAGACATGGTCTCAGGAAGTGGTGAAAGGTGGTAGAAGGCAAAATGCCAATCGAGGCGCGAGAGAGACTTCGATCATTTCATCCCCGAATTCTCGTCGACAAGTCACGCGAATGGACAACAAAAACAAATTCCAGAGACCAAAG